TTTTGCCCCTTTTTTGGCCCCTAATTCCTAAAATTTTGAGGCAATTACCCCCAAAATCAATCCCAGCATTCCTTTTGTGATATGTAACCTTGTGGTACAATGTCAGAGAGATCCATACACTAACACACAAGTTATGTCTGGAAGTTACAAAAATGCTTATTTTTGGCCCCTAATTCCTTTACTGTTGGTACCATAACCCCCAAAATCAATCCCAACCTTCCTTTTGTGGTATACAACCTTGTGGTAAAATTTAATAGAGATCCATTCACTTAAACAAAAGTTAGAGTGCGAAAACCAATGTGTCTTCGGACGACGACGACGACGCCAACGTCATACCAATATACGACCACAAAAAATTTTTTGCGGTCGTATAATAAAATGCTCCGCAGGGCGCAGCTTGATACGACCGCAGAGGTCGAACCCTGAACAGTTGGGGCAAGTATGGACACAACATTCAAGCTTGATACATCTCTGAATTTCGATTGTGATTAAATATTTGACACAGCATAGGTTTCTGACACAGAATGAATGTGGTCTAAGAACTTAAAAATTTTAAATTGGACATTCACCTATTATGGTCCAATATCCAAAATCTAAATACATGGTTAGATTCAGCATATCAAAGAACCCCAAGAATTCAATTTTTGATGAAATCAAACAAAGTTTAATTTTGGACCCTTTTGACCTCAATGTGGACAAAGTTGATAACGGGGCCCAAAAATCAAAAATCTAAATACATGGTTAGATTCAGCATATCAAAGAACCCCATATATTCAATTTTTGTTGAAATCAAACAAAGTTTAATTTTGGACCCCGATTTGGACCAACTTGAAAACTGGGCCCATAATCAAAAATCTAAATACATGTTTAGATTCAGCAAATCAAAGAACACTAAGAATTCAATTTTTGTTAAAATCAAACTTAGTTTAATTTTGGACCCTTTGGACCTTAATGTAGACCAATTTGAAAACGGAACCAAAAATTAAGAATCTAAATACACGGTTAGATTCGGCATATCAAAGAACCCCAATAATTCAATTTTTGATGAAATCAAACAAAGTTTAATTTTGGACCCTTTGGACCTCAATGTGGACCAATTTAAAAATGGGGCCCAAAATCCAAAAACTTAATACACGGTTAGATTCAGCATATTAAAAAACCCCAAGAATTCAAGAATAAAACCCCATTGAAATTGGTCAAGAAATAAGCAATTTATACGAAGTATCTTCTTTTGCACAATACTGTGCAATTGAATATTTCTTGCTATTGCGCAATACTGCACAATTGACAATTTCTTGCTATTGCGTAATATTGTGCTATTGGATATTTCTTGCTATTGCGCAATACTGTGCAATTGAAGATTTCTTGCTATTGCGCAATACTGTGCAATTGAAGATTTCTTGCTATTGTGCAATACTGTGCAATTGAAAATTTCTTGCTATTGCACAATACTTATTATATAATAATTTACACATCCTGTTTGGAGTGTATCTCCTACCATATCATTATTGTTTGCTTTTAAATATAAATCAGAAATAACCAACTTAAAATGGAAAATTTTAAAAGAAAAAAAAAAGGAAAAAAAGAAAAAAAAAGGAAAAAAAAAAAAAATCCCCCCCCCCCCCAAATTTTTTGAACCCCCTTATGATTCATCACCCCCAAACTCAATCCCAGCCTTCCCTTTGTGGTATGGTACCTTGCAGTACAATTTCAGAGAGATCCATACACTTGAACACAAGTTATTGTCTGGAAACTAGAAAAATGAGTTTTTTTGGCCCCTAATTCCTAAACGTTTCGGGCAATTACCCCCAAACTCAATTCCAGCTTTCCCTTTGTGATATGGAACCTTGTAGTACAATTTCAGAAATATCCAAACACTTACACACAAGTTATTGTCATGAAACTAGAAAAATGTTTGTTTTTTGCCCCTTTTTTGGCCCCCAATTCCTAAAATTTTGAGGCAATTACCCCCAAAATCAATCCCAGCATTCCCTGTGTGATATGGAACCTTGTGGTACAATTTCAGAGAGATCCATACACTTGAACACAAGTTATTGTCTGGAAACTAGAAAAATGCTTATTTTTGGCCCCTTATTCCTAAACGTTTCGGGCAATTACCCCCAAACTCAATTCCAGCTTTCTTTTTGTGATATGGAACCTTGTAGTACAATTTCAGAAAGATCCATACACTTTCACACAAGTTATTGTCATGAAACTAGAAAAATGCTTGTTTTTTGCCCCTAATTCCTAATATTTAGAGGCAATTACCCCCAAATCAATCCCAGCATTCCCTTTGTGATATGGAACCTTGTGGTACAATGTCAGAGAGATCCATACACTAACACACAAGTTATGTCTGGAAGTTACAAAAATGCTTATTTTTGGCCCCTTTTTGGCCCCTTATTCCTTAACTGTTGGTACCATAACCCCCAAAATCAATCCCAACCTTCCTTTTGTGGTATTGAACCTTATGGTAAAATTTCATAGAGATCCATTCACTTAAACTAATGTTAGAGTGCGAAAACCAATGTGTCTTCGGACGACGCCGGACGAGACGACGACGACGACGACGCCAACGTCATACCAATATACGACCGCAAAAATTTTTGCGGTCGTATAAAAATAAGGAGGTGTGGTATGATTGCCAATGAGACAACTATCCACTACAGTTCAAATGAAGTTGAAAGCATGATGAACTAAATGGGGAATGTGTCCATGGGACACAGATGATGCCCCTGCTTGCATACAACATTATAAAGGAACAGTAAAAGTGACGCTATCAAAATTCGAACTTGATCTGATTTTTGTGGTAATAAGCATTGTGTATAAGTTTTATATTTAGTTGAGGCAAACTTAAGTTAGTGAATGGAAACGAAAAATTCAGCTATTTTTCCATTTGTGAAGGGGCATGACTCTTAAAGGGTAAAAGTGACACCACCAAAATTCAAGCTTGATTTGTGTTTTTTGGTAATAAGCATTGTGTACAAGATTCATTACATTTGGTTTAGGCAAACTTAAGTTAGAAATGGAAACTTAATTTTTCCATTTGTAAAGGGGCACAACTCTAGAAAGGTAAGTGACGCCACCCAAATTCAAACTTGATGTGTTTTTTGTGGTAATAAACATTGTGTACAAGTTTCATAACATTCGGTTGAGGCAAACTTAAGTTAGAGAACGTAAACCAATTTCAGAGTATAGACGGACAAGGGTAAAACTTAATGCCCTCTCTGCTATGGCTGGGGCATAAAAAAAAATGCGGAAAGCTGTTTACTTGCCTGAATTTTCTATGTCCAAAGACCATAACTCTGCACAAAATCATCTGACCGGAACAAAATTCAAAATTTATCTGTAGCTGGTCATGATAAAGCTATATACCAAATATCAAATCAATATTTTCAAGCACGAAGAAAAAAAGGTGTGGAAAACTGATTTGCTGGACTGACAGATGAACAGATAGATGAAGTGCAAACCTAAAGTCCCCTCCTACTTCGTCGGTAGGAGGCTAATTAGGAAAAAGAATTATTGATCCTAAATTTCATTATTTTTATCCCTTGGGTTTATGTTACCCTTATGAGTAGTAAATGTTTATACTTATTATTAAAATGTTAAAATTCAGGGGTGCAGAAAAAACATTTAAAGACCAGGAGACGGAAGATATTGAAACAAGGCAACCACATCAGGGTAGGAAACTCACTGGAAATGTCTACCAGACCACAGGGCTGGCTGCATAAAAAAATTACCTGTCCTGATCAAAATTTACCAGCCCTGAAAATTAATGCAATAAAAATCCAACCCATTTTCCTTCAAGATTCTAAATTATGTTTTTGTGTTTTGAGATGTTTTAATGACTAGAAGTATTATTAGATAAACTTGAGGATTTTTTGTGATGAAAATGACTTAGTACTGCTTTTGTATACACACTGCAACAAGACTTACAAAGTGCACATTTAAGCCTAATGACCATTTGTTCAGAAGCAAGGTGTGATTTCATTTTTTAGAATTTGGGGTGGGCACTGGGGGGTGTTAAGTTTGTCTTCAGTGTAATTCAGCATGCCTGTGTTTGTACCTTTGTTCCACAAAATTACTTTTAAGCAAATAAAAATTTGTACTTTCAATTTACTCTAATATTTATTTTTTATTTAATAAATGCGATCGCGATTGGACGATTCGATACCAACTAGCCAATGAGTGCGGATCTTACAAACAACAGGTATCACCATGTTCTCTGAAGAAATCGCGTGGAAACACCTGGTAGTAAAAGGTTAATTGGCAGTCATGATTCCTACGTGCTGTTATGAAGGGGGTAATACTGAGAACTCATTCCAAAAATAGAAAAAGGTAATCCCAACCACCTGCAAAAAATAGACTGTCCACCGGACTGTTGAAATTTAATTTTTGACCGCAAGATCGTAACATAGGCAGTCTCGGACGGGCTATAATTTCCAACTCTGAACCACATATGGTATGCTTATTCAGTAAATGACTTTCTTCTGTATTATCACTTGGATCAGTACTGTATTGCACTTGAAAGCAGTGTTAGCTGGTAGATTCTTAAAGGTGGATGTATCTGTTTTCCAATTTCAAAATCTACTTTAGAAACAAGAAACTACTATTAAAGTTCTTGTAAGGTTTGTTTGATGGAGTCTTTTACAGCTTTTCTTCAAGTGTAATAGTTATTTTCTATTGTTGAAGGTCTTACTATTTACTTTCTTTATAGTTTTTAGGACTTAGAAAAATTGTATTTTCAAAATACTTGATTTCATTGTTTTAAGAAATTCTACATAAGAGCGAATAAGAAATTCACATATTTTTTTTTTTGAATGGAGGGATTTGCATTCAGAAATTTGTAAATACATGTAGGAATATGACCAAAGACAAACATGATACACAAAGGGACAAGTGACAATACAACACACTTTCACAACTTGTTTTGGCAAAACAATGTTTCCCTAAGCAATGATCTATACACCTATTAGCAGGCATTCGTAAGAAAACAAATATAACTGACAACAGATTTATTTATAACAATATATCATCTATAATTGTAACAAAATACAATTCAAAATGATGAATGGAAAAACCATTCTATATGAAGTTTGCAGTAAAACCCGCTTATTCATATAATTCAATCTTACAAAATACATGTCAATTTTCTACACACATTTGAAACTATTTTACAGACAACACAACACTTTTGTGGTATATAATGTATTGGAAAGCTCGGTACTCTATAAAATATCAATAAAATATCAATTTATATTCCTAAAAGAAAAGTCCATTCTAAATTTATTCAGATGAGCCATAATTTCAAAGGTGAAATCAAACCAAACAGTATCCTTGAAAGGAGTGACCAATTACCCAATTACTGATTAAAAATTATAAGAACTTGCATGTGCAGCATTACCTTCATAGTATAATTTTTAATATTTTCATTATTGACAAATCTGTAATGCTGTGATTAATACATAACAACATCTATCTACCTTTGTCTTGTTTTGATTATATAACATTTAGTATTTTTAAAAGATACATAGGTTTGAATTTTTCCCCTGTAGAATTTTACATGGAATATTTGTTATGCAAAATTACTGGAAAATATTTCCAGTGAACAAAATATCGAGATATAGCTTATCAACTTTCTTTTAACATGTTGTGTTGCCTCTAACATGTCTAAACAAAATACCTGTTTATTTACCAAACAATTAAATTCAGTCCTGTTTGATTCCTAATAAGGCTAATATTTTTATCATAGTTTAATAGACAATCAGTTGTTACAATTATATTTTAAACATCTGTCGAAGATGTTATGTGCATCAACCAACAGAATTTTATATATATTTTTGATCACTTAATTCTTTGTTAACAAATAAAACTAAAACTACAGGAATATTGCACATTCAAGAAAATAATGTACATTATACCTAAATATCATAGCACTTTTGTTTGAAAAAGTCAACATGAACACCAGTCTTACAAAAGACACCAATACAAAATTTAAAGAATGTGCATTTCAAAAATCAATTTCTGTTCAGTGGTGCTTAAAACTGAATGCATTAAACCCTAAATTATACCATAAGTAGCCAAGGACCAAATACCCTTGGATTCTATCAAATTTTATGTCTTTTTGAGAACTAAATTCAATATCATATCAGCCATGATGAACTCATTACTATATTCTTTAAATCAAAATCACATTTTCTACTGTTTGTAATATTTTCAGAAATTTTTTTTTACATTAAAGCAATTTAAGCATGATTTCAACTTGGAAAGTAATCTGCCTTCAGATTTAATTTAAATGCAATGAATCCAGACGAAAGCTGCTAAGTTATGTTCAGATAAACAGTCTTCTTATTTATATGGTAGTCTTATACAAATTTATTATAATTTTAATGTTTAAAAAAACCAATATAGCCATTTCACCAGATGATCAACTGACAAGAATATCTTTTGCAATCCACAAATGCAATTAGTTTGAGAAAGTTGGTCCAATGTAACAAAACCAACCCCATCAGATCATTTTGTTGTATAATGATAAATGCTTGCTCCAACAGTCAAGTGATTTAAGTCTGTAGCACGGCAATACAATCAGCTGTAATGATCTACTCCATATCCAGTAAGTTATATTATCTACTCCAGATCCTTTAAGTTTCTAATGGACCCAGGAGATTCTGGCTTAGAGAATCTACTCTAGATCCTGCAAGTTTCTAGTGGACCCAGTAAATTCTGGCATAGATAATTTACTCCAGATTCTGTGAGTTGTATGATCTACTCCAGGTCCTGCAATTTTCTAGTGGACCCAGTAAATTCTGGTATAGATAATCTACTCCAGATCTTGTAAGTTTATAGTAGACTCAGTAAATTCTGGTATAGAAGTATTGTCATGTAAAGGCGTACACGAGGTCACTGGCAGGTCAGGAGAAATCTCTTGGTCTTCACAGTACATATCCATATTTGGTGGGTCATCCTTTAAAATAAAAATTTTGGAACAAATGTACACATATAATTTATCAAATTTTAAGTCAAGTTTTTGAATGAATTTTGTTGAAAATATGGATCTGCGTATTTAAATAAGTGCAAACTTGTAGAGAAGTACCATTACTGCAATAATCCTTTGTTCCTATTAAGCTGTCACTTGTACTTTTTTCTTGGTATTATGCTTTATTGATTCACTTCAACCTCTTCTTGCACCATATTTCTTTTTGTCTACGGAGAAGTTGTGACTTTTCTATAGTTCATATTTTTTAATCAAGCCAAAGAGGCAGGACAATCATTGCTACAAATTTTAGTAGTGTCATGCCATGCATTTTGACAAGTTAAATACATTTCTGATCTAGGATTACTGAGTTACTTTAGCAGCTAATTGCTCACATTAAGTTCACTAATCCTATACTATTGATTTATTTATTTTCGTGGGTATCAATTTTCATTGATTGTTTCATATATATTTGATTTCGTGGTTTAGCCAGGTCAGCTTACAAAGCCTATTGAAAATTGGCTGAATATTCAAATTTGTGGTCCACCGTTTCTTACAGAATCTACTAAAATTGGTATCCCATGAAAATAATGAATCTACAGTACATGTACATTCAATGACACCCTAAAGAGTACCCACTGATAATAAACTGTTGACACAGAGATAAATTCGGAAAAGACAATCTGATGGACATCAACATTGCTAATTAATTCAATGTCGCTGGACCATAACTTGAGGGCAGGGCCTCACATGGTCAACAAATCGAGATGTACCGACAGTTATGTAACTTTATAGAAAATATCCTCATCTATTGTAAGTAGTGACAACTTAAGCAGAAAACTCAACATTGGTAATTGCTTAATTGAAAGTCGCTGGACAATGACCTAGGGGCACCACCTCAAAATAGTCGTCAAACCGATATGAACTGATAATAATGCATCTTTATAGAAAATATTATTGATTTATCACGAGTAGTTCCTATCAAACTAACTTGAGCAGAAATCTTAACATTAAAATTTGCTAATTAATTCTGTCACTGGACCATGACCTAGGGGGCAGGGCCTCAAAATAGTCGTTTAACTGGTATGTACTGATAGTAATGTTTCTTCATAGTAGTTCTCATCAAACTAATTTAAGCAGAAAACTTAACAATTGTTGACATCAATGATGTTGCCGGAAAAGCAATATCTATGTCTCGCCTTCGAAGACTTTCGTTGCAGGCGAGACAAAAACTATCTAAAAGAATATAGAACTTCCAGGTCATGAACTGTCTACAAGTATACTCCATAATCTATGAGGAAGCATAAATCTATTTAAATTTTCTTTTTTCAGAATTTAAGGTATTAACTATTTTTTTTTTTAAATATTAAAAATTTTAATGATTTTACATTCAAGCAATTACTGAAGTCAAAATAATGGACTAAATTACACAAAATCTTGACTGTGTAATTGTACATACCTCCTGTAAACTTATTGCTCACCTGTAATAGCTGGGTCTGTAGATACAACACCCCTGTCTCTGGATCTCGGAATGTAATCCCTCTTGATGTCATGCCATCACCTGATGTGAAAGAATTAGTCATGTAGTTATTCTTCTCTGCTGTGTCTGCAAGGATAAAATACAAAAAATATATATAAATCTATTTTTTTGTGATTTCTTTCCAATAACCCACGACACCACAAATGTGTGAAATTGGTCTGTCTTCAGGGGTAAGAAAGTGAGCCATTGTGATGATGATGAATTTCTGACAAAATTTGAAGAGCAATCAAAATGATCTGCACCTGGTCACAACTTCACTGTAAGTGAATATGCATGAACTATTTGACATAGGATCTTTAAAAATTAACAAAGTTATAAATGTTCTTTGTTTACCTTGGAATGAAGTGTCGGCAGGTACTGAGGATGATGCCTCCTTATTTCTTCTTTTCTTTGCTCTCTCACTCATCAGATGGTTACCATGGTAATCTGTCCTTGCTGAACCACCTGATTTACTATTTGACATTGTTCCTAAAATTTAAATATTTATTTATCTGAGTATTACCAGATTGTAAAATTTTCATGTTCTGTTTTAGGCAATGAAGTGAGTTGATGCATTAAAATATTTGATATATTGAGCTCCCAAAAGTTGTGGTCTCCAGCAAATCTGACAAAGGTTCTTCCATAGATGTGTGTCATGTCAACTGAACTGATATATATTTATATTGTTACTTTTCCAGCAAGCTGTTTATTTATTTATCATCCTTTATTTTTTTCTTAAAGCAGTTGAAATTTTATCATAATGCTAATTTTTTTTCCTTCATCCTATTCGCTATTTTACAAATGTGACATCATGCTAAAATATGATATTACTAAAATTGAATCGTAATTTCCTGTTGATATGCACATCTACATAGTATGTCCTTATTATCTACAAAGTTTCATGAAATTCTGTGTTGTGGTTTCAGAGGAGTTGCGATGACAAAGTGTTGCAGTAATACATTGAAGCAAATAAGTTCAAAGGGGCGTAACTCCTAGAAAAAAATAAAATGCTCCGCAGGGCGCAGCTTGATACGACCGCAGAGGTCGAACCCTGAACAGTTGGGGCAAGTATGGACACAACATTCAAGCTTGATACAGCTCTGAATTTGGATTGTGATTAAATATTTGACACAGCATAGGTTTCTGACACAGAATGAATGTGGTCTAAGAACTTAAAAATTTTAAATTGGACATTCACCTATTATGGTCCAATATCCAAAATCTAAATACATGGTTAGATTCAGCACATCAAAGAACCCCAAGAATTCAATTTTTGATGAAATCAAACAAAGTTTAATTTTGGACCCTTTTGACCTCAATGTGGACAAAGTTGATAATGGGGCCCAAAAATCAAAAATCTAAATACATGGTTAGATTCAGCATATCAAAGAACCCCATATATTCAATTTTTGTTGAAATCAAACAAAGTTTAATTTTGGACCCCGATTTGGACCAACTTGAAAACTGGGCCCATAATCAAAAATCTAAATACATGTTTAGATTCAGCATATCAAAGAACACTAAAAATTCAATTTTTGTTAAAATCAAACTAAGTTTAATTTTGGACCCTTTGGACCTTAATGTAGGTGTAATACCACCAAATCATAGTACGTCACATCCGGTTGCATACGAAAATAGGTCAAAAAAAAATATTCCCTTGAATTTGACAGTTGTAGGTAATTGATCCTACATTTCATTGCAGTAAAACATTTCTGGGTCATAAACATATATCTTGGGTATTTCAAAGCACCATTATTTTTTTATTTGGGGTTTCTATAGAATATTTTGGAAACTTGAGGTTACATGGTTACTAAAGCTTGTACACAGGTTAAAAAAGGGGGAAGATTTGATTGGTTAACTTCCAGTGATGGTTATTTTCTTATATGCAATGAAATGTTATGTGAAATTTTTTCTATAGTACTGGACAGGATCAAACTTTACTCATGCCAAGTATTTCTTTATTTGAAACAAAGATAAATTCTGCACAATTTTTTGAAAAGTGCAAATTTAACAAAGACTAATAGGGGAAAATCAATGGTGGTATTACACCTAATATGGGAAGCTGTACATGCACCTTTGACCTTGTGAGTACTCTCATGTGTTAAAATTTCTTGCTATTTAAGTGAAATATTACTAATAATGAAATATTCTGAGTGGATTAAGTCTCCAAAACACATTTTATGAGAAAATTTCCTTGAAATAGGACTTTACCATGAATATTAGTTGACAGAATAAGCCATACTTAGAGTTTTGGGGAGCTTTTTCTCCTTTTTTCTTATATTCTGCTATACTAGAAAATTTTTCCTAAGAAATACTTTAATAAATATATAGTTTTAAGTAAATGAAATTATTTTTAAAGCAGTAACAACAAATTATTCACCAAAAGAGAAGCTTTTTATGTCCCTCTCTGGAACGCGGCGTAAATTTAAGTTTTACGTAAGGACTTATTGAAACCTCCTTGGAGACAGTAAACTTTTATCTGGATAGTTCATTCAGCTTGAAAACTTCATTTAATCATTTATTATAACATTTCTATCATAAATGAGTGTAAGTTACCCCAAAATTTTTATTTATTGGCCTATAAAGTAGAAATTCTGAGGAAATGAGAGGTATAAATGGACCAAAAGAGACCTTATAAGGAAGACAAAGAGGTCCATTAGTAGTATTTATCATCCTGAAGTCATCTTTTGTATCATATTCAACTGTTTGTAGGCAGATGAGATAAATATTTGATCATTTATTGGTCCACACTATATTCTATCATGATGCGGCTTGGTTTGGATTTTTCGAAGAAATTTAGCTCGAATCGCTGTAGATGTCGTCTTACATTATACTAGATTTTTCTCAAACTATTGAACTGATTATGACAAAACTTGACAGGAATGCTAGAAATAACCAGTATTACAAAGGAAAAAAGTCCCATTCAATTTATTTAACAAAAAAGTCTTCTTTAGGTGTAATACCACCAAATCATAGTACGTCACATCCGGTTGCATACGAAAATAGGTCAAAAAAAAATATTCCCTTGAATTTGACAGTTGTAGGTAATTGATCCTACATTTCATTGCAGTAAAACATTTCTGGGTCATAAACATATATCTTGGGTATTTCAAAGCACCATTATTTTTTTATTTGGGGTTTCTATAGAATATTTTGGAAACTTGAGGTTACATGGTTACTAAAGCTTGTACACAGGTTAAAAAAGGGGGAAGATTTGATTGGTTAACTTCCAGTGATGGTTATTTTCTTATATGCAATGAAATGTTATGTGAAATTTTTTCTATAGTACTGGACAGGATCAAACTTTACTCATGCCAAGTATTTCTTTATTTGAAACAAAGATAAATTCTGCACAATTTTTTGAAAAGTGCAAATTTAACAAAGACTAATAGGGGAAAATCAATGGTGGTATTACACCTGTAGACCAATTTGAAAACGGAACCAAAAATTAAGAATCTAAATACACGGTTAGATTCGGCATATCAAAGAACCCCAATAATTCAATTTTTGATGAAATCAAACAAAGTTAAATTTTGGACCCTTTGGACCTCAATGTGGACCAATTTAAAAACGGGTCCCAAAATCCAAAAACTTAATACAGCATATTAAAGAACCCCAAGAATTCAAGAATAAAACCCCATTGAAATTGATCAAGAAATAAGCAATTTATAAGAAGTATCTTCTTTTGCACAATACTGTGCAATTGAATATTTCTTGCTATTGCGCAATACTGTACAATTGACAATTTCTTGCTATTGCGCAATATTGTGCTATTGGATATTTCTTGCTATTGCGCAATACTGTGCAATTGAAGATTTCTTGCTATTGCGCAATACTGTGCAATTGAAGATTTCTTGCTATTGTGCAATACTGTGCAATTGAAAATTTCTTGCTATTGCACAATACTTATTATATAAAAATTTACACATCCTGTTTGGTGTGTATCTCCTACCATATCATTATTATTTGCTTTTAAATATAAATCAGAAATAACCAACTTAAAATGGAAAATTTTAAAAGAAAAAAAAAAGGAAAAAAAGAAAAAAAAAAAAAAAAAAAAATCCCCCCCCAAATTTTTTGAACCCCCTTATGATTCATCACCCCCAAACTCAATCCCAGCCTTCCCTTTGTGGTATGGTACCTTGCAGTACAATTTCAGAGAGATCCATACACTTGAACACAAGTTATTGTCTTGAAACTAGAAAAATGCTTATTTTTGGGCCCTTTTTGGCCCCCAATTCCTAATCATTTCAGGCAATTACCCCCGAACTCAATTCCAGCTTTCCCTTTGTGATATGAAACCTTGTAGTACAATTTCAGAAATATCCAAACACTTACACACAAGTTATTGTCATGAAACTAGAAAAATGCTTGTTTTTTGGCCCTTTTTTGGCCCCTAATTCCTGAAATTTTGAGGCAATTACCCCCAAAATCAATTACAGCCTTCCCTTTGTGATATGGAACCTTGTGGTACAATGTCAGAGAGATCCATACACTTACACACAAGTTATTGTCTGAAAGTTACAAAATGCTTATTTTTGGCCCTTTTTGGCCCCTAATTCCTTAACTGTTGGTACCATAACCCCCAAAATCAATCCCAACCTTCCTTTCGTGGTATTGAACCTTATGGTAAAATTTCATGGAGATCCATTCACTTAAACTAAAGTTAGAGTGCGAAAACCAATGTGTCTTCGGACGACGCCAACGTCATACCAATATACGACCAAAAATTTTTTAATTTTTGCGGTCGTATAAAAAATGAATCGTAATTTCCTGTCGATATGCACAACTACATAGTATGTCCTTATTATCTGAAAAGGTTTCATGAAATTCTGTTGTGTGGTTTGAGAGGAGTTGTGATGACAAGAAACAGGACTGACGGACTGGTCAAAAACATTATACCCTTCGCAAAAAATTTGCGTGGGGTATAATAAAGCAACTTTGATGATCAATGTTTATCTATTTTGAAATGATTTAATAGTTGTATTACAAGTTTACCTTTTGTCTTTGAGCTAGGTGAGGGTGTCACGATCGAGTCAGTAGTTGTGGTGGCCATCTGATCCTGTCGTTCCATGGAAGATAGGATCTGGTTGATGACATCAGGACTAATCTGTTGTACATCACCACTATCTGTAGTAATGAATGATGTTTCTGAAATGCCTGCAAATAGATAAATTGCTTTAATCATTATCATCTAGCAATTAAAGTACAGTTTATCAACAATAAAATAGATTCATGTCCTTATTTGTTGACAGCTTATTAAAGTCAGTGCAAATTTTTAATAAAAAATAAACATCTTTGTCGTCTGAATCTCCAACAGGCGCTTCAAATTTTCTGATTTCTATAAACATGTTCAATTCAAGATTTTCATCCTTTAACAAGACAGTTTTAAAATCAAAGGTGTCCCTCATTGCTCGTTTGAAGGTAAAGGAATTCCTTGGTAGTTCTGATTCATTTCAAACAGTCTTAAACCATGAAAAACTCTACATTCATTGCAACACTAACAGAGAATAGGTGATACAAGTACAAATGACTAGCAAGGATACCTAAGAATAACGCTGATTTTAATGTTTATCTAAATGTTGGACACAAAAACATCTGTTTTGCCCCATCAGATTTATTGAAAAAAAATAATTAAAAGAATTGTTCTCGTCACCCCTCTAATTCTATCTGAAAAATTCTGCAAAACATTTTTTTTTGGTGTGGCCATATTAAGTCATTTATTCTAATAGTTATCAAAGGTACCAGGCTTATAATTTTGATACGCCAGACGCGCGTTTCGTCTACATAAGACTCATCAGTGACGCTCAGATCAAAATAGTTGAAAAGCCAAACAAGTATAAAGTTGAAGAGCATTGAGGACCCAAACTTCCAAAAAGTTGTGTCAAATACGACTAAGGTAATCTTTGCCTGGGATAAGAAAATCCTTAGTATTTCGAATAATTTTTACGTTTGCAAAAGAGTTAATTTATAAAAAAAAAAAAAAAAAAAAAATAGGTAGTTTTCTGTTGAGGGCTATTCCAGAAAAAAATGTATGGGGGGGGGGGTTTTGGAAGGCACTTTTTTTTAATGCCCATGACCCATACAATTTGATTTTTTTGGCGACCCATAACCCATATAATTAAATAGAGGTTTGATACCACCACCCATCTAATTCAAACAAAAAAAAAAGAAAGTCAATACAGCAGTGTAAGAAATTGATATGGTCTACTTAAAAACTAGTATATTTTTTAAGTATGTATGTCTTAATGACTTTCAACACAACCATTGTAGAATTAGGATACTAAGGCTGAAAAATTTCAATCTTCAGATCTCCTTTTGTACTATTATATAATCTATATCAAAATATAAAGGGTAGATTCCAACTGTGGTATGGCTTTTTCAACTGTAAAAAGGGTTAGGAGTTTCTAAGCCAAAAATCCAGAAATCACCACTTTTGTGTAAAAATTCCCCTGCACCAAATTAACAAAAATTCCATGAAATAATTTACAAAGAAGGCATTGGAAGAAGGCATTGCAGGAATAATCTGCGTAAAATTTTCAGCAACACAAACAAATGGAAGTTTATAACGACCTTGACTGGCTTCACAAAATTTACTGCCAGTTGGTATATTTCTTATAATTACAATATTCAAATCTAAAATAATGGTCTATTAAGAAATTTTTTATTTCAATAAAATGAAGTTTTTCAAAACAAAAAATTCAAAGCTGGAATCCTTTTCATTAAAACATCATTCTCTTGCAGTTGAAAAGTAAAATATTTTTTTTGTGTATTTTAATAATCAGTAAAACGGATTTTAAAGAAAATCCATTTTAAGGGGAAATAACTCCACATAAAAAATAAAAAAACATAAAAATTTTCCGAGATTCATTACTGTTTCATCACCTTTTATAAAGCTATATTTTATTTTATTTATATACAAAAGCTTCCAAATCTTAATCAGTTAATGTACAACCACCCATCTAATTAAATTGTGGAGAAGAACAACTACCCACAGAATTACATTTGCTCCAACCACCACAACCCATGCAAAAAAAGATAAACTGCTGTCCAACCCTCCCATACATTTTTTTCTGGAATAGCCCTGATATGAAATCAAGAAAACCTGATTTTAGATTGAGACCATTTTTCACATCACTACATTAACTAACTGCTTAAGTTACTGGTGAACACTAAATGCAACTTCTAGTATTCATCACTAGAAAACTACCTCATTATATCAGTAATTAATCTTACCAGAAGACGCTATAAATTCAGATGGATCTATCATCACTTGTCCAGAGGAAGTTTCTTGGACTGGGGCATTCTGAGGACAGTCTGTATTGGTCACTTCCGTCTGACCCTCTGGAACTGGAAAAAAATAAAGATGGAAATTTAAGAGAGAATCTTTGTGTTGTCAGTTTTTTTGACAAATTTTTGTGGGTTAGGGTAGTTGCCAAAATTATATTCAAAAGTTTGACCATCAGAATAAATGGTGTATATTATATCTCCCCTACCTCCTGGAATGGTATTCAGATTATTAGTTGGTTAGGACATTTTGTAAGTTGCACAAACTGTATACTTTGCATGTTTAATTTGTCCCATCTGTTATATACTGTTTGGTATCTTGGTCTTAATTGATTATTTACTATACATTTTCCATATTTTTTTCTTTTTAGGAAATTAAAATTTATACCATGATTACTCTAGTTTAAATTATACTTGTCTAATTAGTTTATTTATCAGATTTCTAAATAATTTCATTCTTCTTGAGAATTTATTTTGATATCCTTTTTTTTCACAGTAGAAATGATGCTTTCTATTTCTAATAACTTTGTACTGAATTTCAGAAAATCTAAAAACACACAAAAATGTTGTAGCACATAAATCAGTATCACACATCTTATTATATGTTTAAATACCTGTAGAATTGGGTCCATCTATAGATGCCAGCAGTCCAATATCTGGCAGATCATTGTCTAAGTAAGGCATGATATCCAAGTTGTCAGCCTGTGTACTGTTTCCCTCAGACATGACCTGTTTGACATGTTTGACAATATGAGCCCTCAGTGAGGGTTTGTTGGAGTACTTTTTCAGACATCCCTCCATGGGACAGTGGTACATCACTTTCTTCCCACCATTCTCATGCTTCTTTATATGAACAAATAGACTACTTTTGGCAGTGAATTTAATACCACATCCTGAAAGAAATATTATACCATTTATATCATTCCGACCTGGAGCCGACCAGTCTGTGCTCTTACTCCTTAATGCTGTGTGCTTAGAGAAGCAGCAACTACCAATTTTAAAGTCTTGGGTTTGGGCTTGTTCTTTAAAAAATCCACAAACTCCTCTATTAAAAGTAAGCACACAAAATGCAGTAGAAAATTAAGTGTCAAAAAAACAATCTGATCAAAATACAGATTAAGTGTCCAAGCTTCTCTAACAATGATCTCACAACAGACAACACTCCGTTCTACTTTCTGTCCAGATAATTATAACATTAGCAAATGAAATTTCAGCATTCAAATACTGTAATTTCAGAAACTATGTGAAGTTTTTATTAATGCAAAAATGTGAGAGATCAGACTAGTAACAATAAAAACGCCCATTTATAATTTCAGTAGCGATTTTCCTTCATAAAATGATTGCAATCACATTAACTAGATTTCAAATTTGTTTGAGTGGTCAAGGATTTGCAATAATGAATGCAAGCATTAATTTCTGAATTTACAGTAACAGATAATTTTGCTCTGTAATTTTGTGGGTGTATAACCCATGAAAAGGTCTATTTTTTTCACCAAACTGCAATGTTTTATTAAAGTATATAGTTTCAACATTTGATTATGTAAATCAGGTATTTTGTAACATATATCATTTAAGGGCTAATTTTGCTCCAAATCATACTGCACTTCTCCTTTGGTGAAACATTCTTCCTTTTAAAAATATGAATACAACAATTTTATTTTGCATGAATTCCAAAAATGAACTGCACTGAAGATGAGCACAAGTTAAATACTGAAAATTCATTTTGTGAAATCTTTTGAAAAGATTCGCAATATAAATCAACCCTCTTTAATATCTGTAATTAATTTCCTCTTTCAGTAATTCAACTATTGTTTTTTTTTTAATCAGTTTTCAATTTTTCACCAAAATACTGCAAATCTGATATTTAGTTTTCAGTAAAAAATATATTGTTTGGAAGCTCTTCAGAAAAGGAGGTTTGTTTACTTACCTTCTACAGGACAGGCAAATGGTTTATCTCCCGAATGTGTGATTTTATGACCTTTAAGATGCTCAGATCTCATGAAAGCTTTACCACAGAGGTCACACACCCACTTTCTGACCCCTGTGTGTTTGGCTTGGTGTCGTTTTAATTTACTGGCTGTTGTAAAAGCCCACTCACAACCCTGTAATACAAAAAGAACAGAAAATGTCTTGAGAAGGGCTTCCTTGAATAAAAGGGTTACGGTATCACATTTAGACCTAAATGTATCAAAACAACTTCAGAGAAGTTTCAAATTTGCTCTTCTCACTGAAGATGGTTTTCCTTATTTATTTTTGGATTTAAAATCAAAAAGAGCAAAGAAATTGCAAACACTAGTAAGCAACATATGGTATAGTATAACATGTAAATCTTTTTAGGGCTGTTCCATTTAAACATACCACACATGTTACCCAGGAAATGCACTTTAAAAATTGGGTAACCACCTATAAAGGCAAATTAAAATTTCACTTACACTTCCACTATGCAAAAACATAGATGACACCCACCCATAGTTCAGATTTGGAAGTGCCTTCCCTGGGTCCCATGTATGTTTTTATGGAACAGCCCTTGGTACTGTGGATTCATTCATTTTAGTTGGTACCTAATTATGAGGATAGAGGAAAAATGGTCTGTTCATTGCAATTTGATTTTCTGCTTTTGTCAAAGTCTACATACAATCCTACAGAAACTGTATACTTTGTTGAATATTTAAATTTAAGGTTTACATAAAACTAAAAAATCCAGGAAATTTTTTTATCCCACTAATAATAATGAATCCACAGTACATGATAAAAATAAAGATGAAAAGTGTTTTCTTATCTTATTTAGAAACTCTTTTTTAAACACATCGACTTATAACAGTCAATGGTTCATCATTATCATATCATTTATTTCTCCTGTCAAATATAAAATTTTCTTCCATTCTAAATTAAACAGAAATCAAAATGAAAAGAAGCCATTAAACTTGCTAATATAAGGGTTATTGAGAGAAACAATTATTCTGACAAAGATAACAGATTTTTAACTATTATGTTCAAATTATTGCCCAATGTACAACTCACTTCAAACCCACAGATGTAAGGTTTTTCTCCTGTATGTGATCTCATATGCTGTTTTAGCCTGCAGGTTTTGTCAAACACCTTCCCACAGCCTTCAAATGTGCAGGTCAGATCTTCTTTGTTATGTTGATGAACCCTTGGATGAGAACCCATTGACAATGCTGAAATGAACACTTTGTCGCAACCTTCATGAGGACATCTGAAATATAGATCATGTAGAATTGCATAATTTGTTCTAACTATTCTAGAGAATTGTATAATTGTTTTCATTGAATGAAGTATTTATGCTTGTGTTTTCTTTTAATACTACTTTTAACTTGTCAACCTGTAGCATAACATTTCTTTCACTTTTCATGCAACATTCAGATTGTCAGGTAAAAATGTTCCTATTTATTCTCCTCATTCTTCAACGTCATGCACAGATTGCACATATTTCAAAAATTCACTCTTCATTTTTCAATATTAAATATGAAAACTGACTATAAATTGAGTTATTTTCTTCTTAAATTTGATAATAGATGTAGTTTAGTTTATGGCTATAAATCAATATGATTACATTATTACTGGAAAAAAAAGTAAACCAGCTACAGTATTGTCACATGTAAAAACGTCAAATAAGTTAAATTCACCCAACATCTGCAAAATCTGGACAAACCACAAATTTTGATGCATGTATACCCTTTTAGTCCATGTAAACTAATGAAGGACCTATACCACACTTTTAGGGACTGGATCAACTTTCTTTTTATTTCAATTTATAATTAGCAATACTTCTACAGGTCAGAGAGTCCCAATAAATATTCTTTTTAGACCTCCGGCTATTTACATATTCTGTCCTGCAGTTTCTGAATTTTTCATCAAGACTATGTTCTATATACAAATCAAACCTTTATTTTCTGACCCTGTAAAATGTCTAATGGTACCTAGAACAAGGTACCTTAGTCAAAGAAAAGATAGTTTGATAGGCATAAATTACTTGTATGTTTTTTCATGACCACTGTGTGATTTCATGTGAGCATCTAACTGTCTCTTGGTAGCAAACTTCAGTGCACATTCTTCCACAGGACATTGCTCTGTACATGGTCTGCTATGTAACTTTATATGCGAGTTGAGATTATAAACGGTTGTGAACTTCCCTCCACAGTCAGGTATAGGACACTGAAATATGATATATCATAATATTACACATAATTGTCTGTTAGATTTTGATCAAAATTACTAATAAATGCCACAAAACCCAATTCCTAAATCTATAAAAAGGTTGACAAACAAGTCGAATTTTTATATCATGTATATGATACAGTGTACATAAAACATGTACCAAAACAAGCTCTTACACATATTTTACAGTTAAATTTGAAACTGTTATTTTCTCAAAAGTAAGTAATCCAACAAGAATATACTGAGTTGACAGGTAACCATCAACTTTTTATGATTTGGAAATCATCTGTACAAAAGTTTAATTTTATGTGCTATTGCTGCCCGAATTATTGTTATAACCATACCATGAAAGACTTCCTCCCCTCGTGTGATTCTTCATGTCGTTTTAACTTGTAATGAGTTGTAAACGCCCATTCACAGCCTGCTTTGGAACACTGAAAAGAATGAATAGATATTAACATATGCAAGGACAAAACTACTGTAAAAATAATTGATCTGACAGTGCTGAATTTTGTTCTACATATAGTCTGAGACATTGCTGGAATAAACCTAATATACAAATTTAAAGGGACACTAGCCAAGTCATATATGAAAAATCTAATATATGATTTTTTTTTTGTTCAATCATTAATGAAAGTGAAATAACGAAATAATTATTCGCTTTAAGCCGCCAGTATGGTTCAATTTTGTCAAAATAAGCTAAGAAACATTGATGATGAATTATTCACTTGCAAGTGAATATTTCAACCTCATTGAATATGTATTCATGTGAACTTCAATTTAACCCCTTGGCTAGAGATGGATAACAAGTGAATTGTATGTGTAAAGTTATTTAAAGGAAAAGAATGTCAACATAGAAAGTGAAACAAAGGTAAATCATTTGATTGACTGATCCGATCCACAAAAAATCATTCTTATACAGGTAAAAACGATGATAAACATATATTTTTAATCTATAATATAAAATTAAACAGACCTAGAAAAATCCAATAGAATGAGTTCCCTTAATCTATTTATATCTTTATTTATGTTTACATCGCTTATATGGTCATTGGATGACTTTGGAGGACAACGCGATAGTTAATTAATTAGATGGCCTCTAGACTAAAATACACACGAAACGAAGCTACGTGTTATCATGCCCATGTCCTGTTAACTGTTTATTTTAGACTTTTAATAGTTTGGATAAATGTTTTACATTGTTATAAATCAAATATGAGAATTTGAGTCAATTCGGTGAACATGAATTTGACATCTAGTGCCCCTTTAATAAAATTCTGACAAGAATTGGTCCCTTCAGAGGGATTAAATAAAATGCTCCGCTGGGGCGCAGCTTGATACGACCGCAGAGGTCGAACCCTGAACAGTTGGGGCAAGTATGGACACAACATTCAAGCTTGATACAGCACTGAATTCGGATTGTAATTAAATATTTGACACAGCATAGGTTTCTGACACAGAATGAAAGTGGTCTAAGAACTTAAAATTTTTTAATTTACCTATTCAAACCATATCATTATTATTTGCTTTTATATATAAATCAGAAATAACCAATTTAAAATGGAAAATTTTAAAGAAAAAAAAATCCCCCCCCCCCCAATTTTTTGAACCCCCTTATGACTCATCACCCCCAAACTCAATCCCAGCCTTCCCTTTGAGGTATGGTACCTTGCAGTACAATTTCAGTGAGATCCATATACTTGAACACAAGTTATTGTCTGGAAACTAGAAAAATGCTTGTTTTTTGGCCCCAAATTCCTAAACGTTAAGGGCAATCACCCCCAAACTCAAACCTAGCTTTTCCTTTGTGATATGGAACCTTGCAGTACAATTTCATAAAGATCCATACACTTACACACAAGTTACTGTCCTGAAACTAGAAAAATGCTCGTTTTTTTGCCCTTTTATGGCCCCTTATTACTAAAATTTTGAGGGAATTACCCCCAAAATCAATCCCAGCCTTCCCTTTGTGGTATGGTACCTTGCAGTACAATTTCAGAGAGATCCATACACTTGAACACAAGTTATTGTCTGGAAACTAGAAAAATGCTTATTTTTGGCCCCTTATTCCTAAACTTTTTGGGCAATTACCCCCAAACTCAATTCCAGCTTTCCCTTTGTGATATGGAACCTTGTAGTACAATTTCATAAAGATCCAGACACTTACACACAAGTTATTGTCATGAAACTAGAATAATGCTTGTTTTTTGCCCCTTTTTGGCCCTTAATTCCTAAAATTTGGAGGCAATTACCCCCAAAATCAATCCCAGCATTCCCTTTGTGATATGGAACCTTGTGATACAATGTCAGAGAGATCCATAGACTTACACACAAGTTATTGTCATGAAACTAAAAAAATGCTTGTTTTTTGCCCCTTTTTGACCCCTAATTCCTAAACTTTTTGGGCAATTACCTCCAAAATCAATCCCAGCATTCCCTTTGTGATATGGAACCTTGTGGTTCAATGTCAGAAAGATCCATAGACTTACACACAAGTTATGTCTGGAAGTTACAAAAATGCTTATTTTTTGCCCCTTTTTGGCCCCTAATTCCTTAACTGTTGGTGCAATAACCCCCAAAATCAATCCCAGCATTCCCTTTGTGATATGGAACCTTGTGGTACAATGTCAGAGAGATCCATACACTTACACATAAGTTATGTCTGGAAGTTACAAAAATGCTTATTTTTGGCCCCTAATTCCTTAACTGTTGGTGCAATAACCCCCAAAATCAATCCCAGCATTCCCTTTGTGATATGGAACCTTGTGGTACAATGTCAGAGAGATCCATACACTTACACATAAGTTATGTCTGGAAGTTACAAAAATGCTTATTTTTGGCCCCCAATTCCTTAACTGTTGGTGCAATAACCCCCAAAATCAATCCCCACCTTCCTTTTGTGGTACTGAACCTTATGGTAAAATTTCATTGAGATCCATTCACTTAAACTAAAGTTGAGTGCGAAAACTAATGTGTCTTCGGACGACGACGACGTCATACCAATATATGACCACAAAATTTTTTTTTGCGGTCGTATAAAAACTGGATACAGACATGGACGTATGCCTAGTATTTCTATGTCCCCTTACAGTGTTGCTACAGGGAACAAAAACATTTTTCCTGTTTTCTACTTTATTTTGACCAGCAGGATAAGAAAATGATGTCCTGGTTAAGTTGTACATTTAAATGCTCAGGAGTGTAAACTGTCCATTTTCTGTGCATGTTTGGACAGCCAACATGGGTGAAGAACTAAAGAAATCATGATTATCATTACCATGTTTATGTAGAATATCACTGTCATGTTTATGTAGAATATTATTGTAATGTTTATGTTGAAAATCGTATTATTTATGAAGAATATGGTTAAAATGAGATACTCAATTAGAGGACTGCACTCTACTTGAAGAACAGGAAATGTTTATGTGGAATATCATTATAGTGTTTAGTGGACGATCATTCATATTACTGTGTTTATGTAGAATATTGTAAAAATGTACAAGTAGAATATCATTACCAAGTTTAAGTGGAATATATATTGTTACCATGTTAAATGTAGAATATCATTAAAATATTCATGTAAAATATTCTTACCATGTGTTTTGAAGAATATCATTATAATGTTTATGTAGAACATCATCACCATTTTTAAGTTGAATGTCTTTAAAATGTTTATGTAGAATATCATTACCATGTTTATAAATAATATCATTACCATGTTTACGTAGAATATCATTTATTCCATGCTTATGAAGACCATTATTACCATGTTTATGTAGAATATTATTATAATAATGTTTATGTAGAATATCATTATAATAATATTTATGTAGAATATCATTACAATAATGTTTTAAGTATGTATATCTTTTCCAACCTGGTCATACTCATAGATGTGGAATACACATTTAGGATATTCTGATTATAAAATCTTCCAAAATTAATCTTTATTTCTTACTTTAAATGGCCTTTCTCCAGTATGTCTCATTTGATGAGTTTTGTACTTGGATAATCTCCTAAACATCTTACTACAGCCTTCTACTGGACAAACGAACACCTTCTTATTCTCTAAAGAATTCATGAACACCTGAAAAAGATATGAAATATATTTTCAATGTCCAAAATTTTGCAAGAAATTGACATGCCTGTCATGTTGTAAGTGAAGTTATGTTATATAAACTACACAGATCAATTTCATAATAATTTTCAGTTTTTACAAAACCTTTATAAATAAACCAGCAAGACTTGTCCTTTGATCAACATGTTGACAAAACTTTTGAACATTGGACACACTGCAGAAACTACAAAGGTTTATCAGAATAATGCATATAATTAGTTTGAGAGCCACAATGTGTGAAAGTTGCTACTAAAAGACAAAATTGAAGATAAGCAAACTGAATTTACTTTGATACTGTAACTATTCTATGAACTTGACCAATTAACCATTCATATATACCTAATATATATGCATGTAAATTAATTCATTTTAAGCAAAAAAAAAAAAAAGATAAAAATGGGCTCAAAAAAATAAAGATGAGTGACTAATGGGTTGTTAAAATATAAAGAATAGAGAATAATGAGCAAATAATATTAAGTATTGAAAAAAATTACCTAAAAATTGAAGTTTACCTGTACACAGAAATGAAAGACCCCCATCATATATATATATTATGCTATTTGGCTAAAGCATTATGTTTGCTTTGCTATCAAAGATTCATTCATACATGTACATTATATCTTATGTAGACATACTTTAGGGGAATTTTCTATCTGTAGGACCTTTTGTACGCCATCCATCTGTACAATGTTAACAAGTCCATTGTTAGATGTGTCAGGACTTAACAGCAAATAACCTGTAAAAAAACATCTTTGACTTTAATCAACAAAACTAACATTAAAGTTGAGAGAGATTTATATAAGCAAAGTCACAAAATGAACTTCTACTTTGATTTAATTTCAAGATGCTTTCACTACGTACCCTAGTGTGAAGTTGTATTGAATGAAATCAGATTAGAGAAATTTCGTGTAATGCATTTCTGTATACATCGAGTATGCCATGGTTAGATAAAAAACATTTTGATGCAAAGTATACCTTGTGTTTAAAAAGTTTTTTTATCTTTTAGGGAATTCAATTTTGTATAGTCTTCGATCAATTTAATCACAACGTATATCAAGACATTGTCATATTGTAGGACACATGTATGTCTACTGTTGAATACATTATGATGATGATAGAGAATTTTTTTTGTCTCATTGACGTTTGCTCAACATTTCCCTTCATTCATTCTTTTGCAGATCTGAATAAAACTAGTCTCACGTACAAAAACTTAAACGTGGTATCTATGATGAGCTTATTTAAAAGATATTTTAGCTGTTATGTACAGATCTCTTCCGTTCACAGATGTTTATATTGGAATTCTTTCATGCTTTTCTTTTTGTTAATCGTTTCCTAATAAAAAGGCTGTTGGTTTTCCCTTTAAAATTGTTTCACATTTCAGGGCCCAGCTTTTATAGTGGACTAAATGTCATGGTTTCAATTCATGTTGAAGGCTGAATGGTGACCTACAATGTACATCTACAGCATTAGCACAATTTGAACTCTGGTTAGGTCATTGGCAATCACACCAATAATATTCATATAGAGTTGGAAATGGTCAACCATTGAAAATGAATAAAACTGAATGTATGAAAATATGTGGGTTGGTGTGAAAATTTACAACGGAAACATGTTTGTCTAATCAGTATAAATGCATATTGCATTATAAAAATATCTGTTAAATGCATAACATTAACTGACAGTAACCTGTTTGTGGGATTGTTTGATGTTGTTGTCCTTCGTTCGCTGGTTTTATTGCATTTGTAGCTTGTTGTAGATCAGCTGTATTGATTTTATATAACTGGTTGCCTTGGTTTGTATTCACCAAGATGTGGGTGGAGTTTGAGGGTTTGTCTGTTGAAATGGAAATTGTGGCAAACTTCATATTCCCTTGTGGAGTCACTGAGGACTGTGGTGGTATCACTTGAATTGTCTGTGGAATCGCTGTTGCTTGAATCAACTGTGGGCTATTGGCATTGATAGGGGCTATCAATGCTGTGGGATCCCGTATTTGACCAGGCGGCTTTCCTACATTGTAGGTTGCACTTTGTCTTGCAGTATTATTTATGTCCTCATTCTGGCCAACTATTGTAATGGTTTGAGAGTTTTCTGTAGTACATGTATCAGTTTGTTCATTGTTTTTTATAGACTGTGATAACTGCCCTGTGACAATGTCTGCATTTAATACAGAGTTAATGTTTTGATGAATGGAAGATGGTGGAATGACTAGATTTGTATCTGTTGTGCTGAACACGGGCTGATTTAAAGGAGACATGAACATTTGAGCACCAGAAACATCACTGTCCAGTGGCAGTGATATACCACCTGAGGCGAGATCGACGACGCTCGCCTCAAAGAAATCCCCCTCATCAGAAGACGACGAAGGAATGTCAAAGTTAACACTATCTTGTCTACTTCTCAGCCATTCGGAATCGTTTTGAGGATCTGTCCTGAAGCTGTCAAGATCTTCGCTTGATAGAAATTGTACATTTTCAGTGTCAGTGTCAATATTTTTTTCGATAATGTCGCCATCTTGAAATGACAAAATTTGATCTTCATTGTTCTTTTTATGATATGATGCCGTTCTCTCAACTAAATTGTCAGATATGTCTCCTTTATTTACACTGAAGCCGGTCGCATGTTTTTCATGGGTGCCGCCATATTCTTTACTTGACAGACCCCCTTCTATCGACATATTGAAGCCCCATTCGATCTACCATATGGGGTTCGCCATTTCTGACCAAAGAGTCACTGCAGTGACGTCACGCTCACTTGGCCTTTGAAAAAAAGTACAATTAGGCGGGAATTTTAAAACCCCCTCTTTAAACATTACACATGTTACATGTAGACATCTTGATCAGTTTGTAAATATGTAAATGAATATATATATATATATATTGGATTTTTTTTCTCACAAACTTAAAGGAGTAAGTTCATGAGTGGTTAAAATTGGCCCTAATATTTTAATGATCTTTAATGATATTTTATTTATGGGTTGGGTGGGTGGGTGGGGTAGGACCTTTATCGGGACTCCGGGATCGGGTGTTTTTAGGCTCGGGATTTCGGGATTGATCCTTTCGGGATCCGGGAATTCTTTTTTCGAATTTCGGGATGTCGGGATTTAAATTTCTTTAAATTCGGGACCTCAGCCTCGGGATTGTTTTTAACTTGAGCCCGGGATTTCGGGATCAGGACCCCTCCGACCCCCCCCCCCCCCACATTGGGTCATTATAAAAAAAACATGTAAATTTCGATGAGGGAAAATTTGGAAAAATGATGTCATTGTTTTAAAAATTTAAATATGTCCTCCTATTCTATAATATGGTAGCAAATATATTCAGAAATATGCAATGATAAAAATGAAGAGTTCCTTCAATTTTAACAAATTTAGGTCATCTTCTGATAGAACCATGTCAATGGTGTTACCAATGTGGGTCTCATTGGGGTCTAAGCGTGACCCGGGATTGCCTATTTTTTGTAAGCGTGACACGTGAAAGTCAAATTATTGTGCCGTTAAAACGGGATAGAAGTCTAGCGGGACACGGGAAATTACAAAAAAATGAGAATTGCTTACGTACATAGTGTAAGCGGGATACGGGAATCTGACAAAACAGTAAGCGGGATCCGGGATCAGAACCCCCCAATGAGACCCCCACCAAAGTATAAAACATGCATTTAGTTACTAAAAATATTGTTAAATATCAAACAACTGTTCCAATTTGTTTTTAAGGTTAAAATTACTACTTATTGACATTATTTTTATAGGTATGCATTCTATTTAAACATAAATTTCATAGTAAATTGTTGTAAAAAAGTTGGCTGTCCTAATTATGGCAGTTGTTAATATTAGAAAATACACTTAAACTGAATATATGTAAAATACGTAAGACAAAATGATTAGATAATGCCTAATCCTTCGTTTACGGCCTGAAAACACTTTCATTTGTTAATAAAAAATAAAAATTATTGCATTTTTATATAGTAACACCACTGACCCTTCAGTAATTACAATAACACAGAAGTATCACCATTGACAACACATTTCAAATTTTACTTTTATTAAGAACTGACACAAAACAAAGAAAACTGAGCAAAAGAAAAAGAAAAACATATATTTGTGTTGTAACGTCAATTTTGGTCACATTTTTAATAATTCTTAAAAGTTTTTAGCATATATATTTACTTTGGCCGCAACCAATGATCCAGAAAGTGTTTGAGTCTAGGGATTCAATTCATCATTGGCATGCAATTGTTGGTTATGTTCCGGACCATATGAGTATTTGGACCATACGCGTATGGTCATGACCATATGCGTATACTTATATGGTCCGACCATACGCATACGGTCGGACCATATGAGTATATGAGTATTTGGACCATACGCGTATGGTCATGACCAAAGACCATTTGAGTATTATACTCGTTTGGTTTTCAACGGGCCAGACCATGTGAGTATTTAGACAATATAGGTATTTTTTCGGATGAATTTTAGCTTCCTTCGCAGGAACGTTTAACACACAGATTCTCCGAACCCAAAACGGCACAAGTAGCTAACAAAATTCCTTTAACTTTGTCTAAATCTTGTCTTCGACTAGTAGATTTAATTTATAGTGCCTTTCTGTTGTCGACCTTTCGGTCCGTAAAGCCACATTTCTTCTAATGTCATCATATTTTCATTTAATGCACGTGTTTTTGCTCCTTAATATACGATCTTACTGTTATTGTATTTTGAATATTTATGAAATTTTAATTTAATAAAAACAAATTTAATCAACAAAATAATTTGGGAAAAAAAAAGAAATGAAAGAGAGTTCAATGATCAAAGTTCCTGTGTTTTAAGCAGCTGAGATAACTTCTTATTAAACAGTTCATTTAGATATTTCTTTGAAGTTATTTTCAAAGTCGACATATTGTGTTTCGTAAGGACAAATCGATATAGTAGCCATGTAAAAAATATTTTTTATATTATAATAATCTTACTTGTAAGTAAAATTCACTTTATTTCATTAATCATGTAACATTGATAACCTGAAGTATGATTGAATAAGTCAAAATTTCATTTTGAGACAATCTTAATTACGCGACACCTTTTTAACATTCATCATCAGTAAATTACCCTTATCAAATGGAAAAATCAAAAGCTCAAACACATGAAACGAGTGGAAAACAACTGTCATATTCCTGACTTGGTACAGGCATTTCTTTGTGTGGAAATTCAAAATGGGGGATTAAACCTGATTTTATAGCTAGCTTAACCCCTCACTTGTATGGCAATCGCATAAAATTCCATCATTATATTGACAACAATGTGTTAACAAAACAAACAGAAAGGATATATAACTTAGAGTTAGTAAAATCTAGAGACTGTTGGTGGGAAAATGATGCGATCAATCTAAGAACTTGGAAAGGAGTCCAAAGCTGCTCGGTCGTTTTGTTGTTTTATTATTTATTTTTATTCAGAGCAGTAGGACTTAAAAACATAGGCCAAACTGATGCTAAGTAAAACAATAAACGAAACAAAAATTGGACTTAACCATAATAAGTGAATGCAACAAGCTAAAAAATGATTTTACAGTATGACAATAGACATTATTTTATTTTACCAATCATTGGCCTTGTCAGGCAAGATACACAAACATCATTATACAATAGTTATTATAAAACATGCAAGTTTTTAGTGAAAGTATGGTATGTCAGTATCAAAATCAAGAGAATGCCACACTCTGTGTACATCTAATAACCCAGCATTACTCGTTTGGGAGTCCGTATAGTAACCAATTGCATGGCAACATTTCTGTTCATCTATACCCAAAATGTCATCTTTTTCCAATGGCAGTCCTTATTTCCCGCATTCATTCCAGTCGCCTTTTTATTTCAGAGCATTAGTACTAGTAACTGAATTGTTAATTAGTTCTTGTTGTGAATATATTGTGTTAATTGCCACTTGACGTTAAGCAAAAAACAACCAATTAATTTCTATAAATACTACGAGCAAAAGTAGTCGTTCGTTCAGAAGTGAAATTCCATAACCTGAATAGAGAATACTCCCATCTAAGCACGTTAAAGACCATTTGACCTTATCTTAGGGGTTCATATAGATGACATAATGCAATGCAAAGTTTCCGTCCCTACTTGTTTATGTGCACGACTGGTGCAATTAGTGAAGCGGGAACTACTTACAATTTTGCAGCACTTGAGATCATCAGCAAATTTTTGTGTTCATATTGCACAATCTTTATTTTTCTGAACTTTTTTTATTTGTTCGTGCATTAACTTTGTTTTGCCATTGTTAAATCAGTTTAACATCGACAAATAGTTTTAGATTGTCCTTCGACCATGTATCGTCTTCCCTTTCTTTTGACATAATTTCTTCTTCTATAACTGTTGGTCAGATTTAAAGTTTAATTGCTTTTACACTTATTAAGTACAAATGTCATAATTATTGAATCACCCATAGATCGACAAGGTTGTACAGAAATATAGTAAACTGAAATATCGTTCGACAACAAGCAAGACCCATGCTGAAAGATAGTGTCCGTTTAAATTGACTGTGGGGCAGTTACGTCCGGTCAGACTGAAAACTAGAATTGAGAACGGAAACAGGGAATGTGTCAAAGAGACAAAAACCCGAGCAAAGAGCAGAAAATACCCATGGCCACCTATAGGTCTTCAACGCTGAAGAAAATCCCGCTGCCGGAGGCGGGCTGCAGCTGGTCCTTAAACACTAATCAAATGGTTTATGTTGGACGAAAACCCTGGCAATAACTCTTTAAAATTCCATGAGGAATTCGCAGGTGATACATTGCAAGGCAAAATATCTGCCCCTACCCAAGATACCCCTTCTCAATTTGATAAAAATAAGTTTAATACAAATTTGAATATCATATTTCTCAATAAACAGTTTCGTTTATCAAAGCAACACTGCATTAAATAGTTACACAGCATTATTGCACAATATCTAAATGTCGAAATACTTTTACACAATATACTGATGAAATAAATTGTGAGAACTGCTTACAGACTGCGTGGTACTGTTCAATAGTCCACAGCTAGTATATAAAAAAGGATCGTGCAATCGATTAAATATATGCGCGGATTACAATATGTACCGATATACTACTATAATGTAGTTCATTGTATTGTTTGATACGTGTTTCCATAGTTGCTAAGTCTTTAGTTTTCTGTGTTGTGTTTTGTGTACTGTTGTTTGTCTGTCTGTCTGTCTGTCTGTCTTTGTCTTTTTTAGCCATGGCTTTGACAGTTCAATTTCGATTTATGAGTTTGAATGTCCCTTTGGTATCTTTCGCCTCTCTTTTATGAAGCAGAAAATAAAGTGTTTGGTGATTGCTTTAGTATAGATAAAATTATATGTTATAGATATTTCATATCTTTTGGATAGTTTTGCGGTGTTTCGTAAATTATACCATAGCTTTTGTTGAAACCCCCGGCAATAACCTCACGAGACGAAGTCGAGTGAGGTTGCCGAGGGGTTTCAACAAAAAACTATGGTATAATTTACGAAATGCCGCAAAACTATCCAAAAAATATGGAATATCTGTTTTAACCTATCGCATCTTTTGATGTTTAAAATTGTATATTTCATATATTTTGTTTGTTTACTTTAAAAATAGTTTTGATAAGAATCAGTTAAATAACCCTTTTCGGGCCTTACACATAAAGCTCCGCCTACTTTTTAAAATAAGCACGGGATTCTGAAACAGCGGGAAAATCAGTAAGACGAGATGTTTCGACAGCGATGGATGCACATGTACATTGGTGACGGATAACGTTACAGACGAACAAATGTTAAAGGAATTAGATGTTCTGGATATGGTCATTATGGACGCAAGAGACCCCAGATTAAAAGTTGAACTGCAAAGTGTTAGTTTTTTTTTATTTTATCAAAATGTTAGAATGTTTCAATTTTTTAATATTCATTTATAATTCTGAGGAAATTAATTTCACAAGAAACTTTTTGAGAGTTTGGATGAATCATTCCACATTTTAATTTGTACTGAAGCCCAAGTCGTACATTAATTAAAAGGGATTTCAAAAGTTCATGATTAAAATCACATGTTGACTAGCAATAGTTTACACAAAAAGTAAGCTTCATTTAGAAAAACCAGACGCTATCTAATTTTAACATTTCAACATTATTGTTATTACTTGAGCAACCTCGTTAAAGTCTTGATGTTAGCAATGTATAACAAATCGGGTGCGGGTCCAGGAAAGGGGGATATAGCAAGCCAATATTTGGAGTAATACAATGAAAAAGTCTATGAATTTACCAAATATGAAGCTCCTTAAAATGGGCTTGCTCCCTGCCCTCCCCCAAAAAGCCGCCTCGGCAAATTCAAACCTATACATGTAGCTGTACAGTGAAGCCTATGGAATACAATCCAAGTATAAATCTCAATAACCAAAAATCAACTTGTATTTTCCAGTACAATATATACACATTTATATACTTTTTAAAACTTTATTTGTTTGTTTATTTGTTCTAGGAGAGATTTTTTTTCATTTAAAGATATAGGACAACAGAGTTGGTGTACGTGGGTTCGATTCCCACCCTAGGCATTCATTTATATCGGCTGGTACAAAGAGGGCAGTTTAGCTTAGTGGCCCCGCACTGACTCTGTTGTTCAAATGTCAAAAAATTCAGGCAGCAAGGTCTTGCTATCTTTCTTTTTCTCGAAGAACCTATACAACAAAACCATGGTATAATTGTGAAAATTATACCATAGATATCTGGTATAATTTTCGGTTATTGAGATTTATACTCAGGTTGCATTCCCATAGGTTCCATTGCACAGCTATAGGTTAATATATACACATTTATATACTTTTTAAACTTTATTTGTTTGTTTATTTGTTCTAGGAGAGATTTTTTTCATTTAAAAATATAGGACAACAGAGTTGGTGTACGTGGGTTCGATTCCCACCCTAGGCATTCATTTATATCGGCTGGTGCAAAGAGGGCAGTTTAGCTTAGTGGCCCCGCACTGACTCTGTTGTTCAAATGTCAAAAAATTCAGGCAGCCAGGTCTTGCTATCTTTCTTTTTCTCGAAGACCCTATACAACAAAACCATGGTATAATTGTGAAAATTATACCATAGATATCTATGGTATAATTTTCGGTTATTGAGATTTATACTCGGGTTGCATTCCCATAGGTTCCATTGCACAGCTATAGGTTAAATAAGAGTAAAACAAGTTATTTGTAAGCTTAAATATATTTAATGTCATGATAATCGTTCTACACTTTTGTCTCAAACACATTGCCATGAATATTTTTTACATCCACAACACCGTGGGAGCCAAGCTCTTTTAGTTGTTAAGAACCATTTTCCATTTTTTGGACAGGCCACCAGTAGATCTATATAATAGTAACTGTCAGGCTGACACACAAACCACGTGTACCTATTTGGTGATGTTATTCCATCACATAACCTACAATAAAAAGAGAGAAAATTTACTATTTATATTTGTCAGTATCACAAATAACTCCAGACGTTGCAGTGCTCCTTAAGTATAACAAATCAAAATTTAGATGGAAAGTTTCACGCCTTCCTATAACAATCATTTGGTCAATAGATTCATTTACAGAATAGAAAATGGTTTTGAATATGAATGACATATTTGCCACTGAAAGTTAAACTAATGACAATTAATCAGAATTGACAGTACTTAGTTTTTCAATATACTTTTATAAGAAAGAACAAAATATCTGGGTGAATGGACGTCACTTATACACCAAACAAACGACACAAATAACCAAAATATACCTCGGTTATGTTCATTCATTATTCATAGAGGTAGGGCTGTGTTTGTTTCATTCATAGGATCAGAATCTGAAAGTTGTTAAAACGTAGCGGATTTGAATATTGTAGAATCTAAATAGCGTATTTAGAAAAGATTTTCAACAATTCTTATACACATTTGAAACCAAAACCATAGCGCTACACAATTGTGATAAAATACTATGGAACAGTATTGCATATTTTACAATAATTAGTAAAAATTTATATGCAGATGCAGATCCAGGATTTATAAAGGGGGCTCCCAAACTAGACAAAGATTGGAGTAGAACAGGTTAAAAGTCTGGATTAACCTTTAAATGAAGCTCCATACAAAGGAGGGTGCCCTAAATCCACCTCTGGTATAGAAGGACATCATTAACCCTTAAAAATGTGTGTGTGACTGAAAGACATTACATAGCTTTACTTCCAAAAAGAATTTAGGTTTTGATTAAGAATTTTGATCTTTATTTTTTAACGGAAAATTTTGGACCACAAAATAAGTAATTGAAAGGATTGAATTTATCTAATGTGTTAGCCATGTTAACTTAGCTGTGTTATCGAGTATGATTGATATATACACCACATATTTTCCAAAATCATAGCAAAAGTATCTAGCAAAAGATCCCGAACCTGAACCAAGTTTTTCACGCTACACAATTTCTGTGCATAATATTAATTTAAACGCATCGCCTACACCACTGTCAATAATATTGATAATAGTTCTTACATTCATAACAATGGTATAAACAAGATAAACGTGTCATAATTTGATTTTTGTTACCATAGTTATAGATGCTTACTTCGGGTTACATTTAACATGTGGGCACACCCAATTCCTCCATTCACGGTATAGCCAACAACCATCTACCCATTTTCCTTTAAACGTAGTAGAAGTAGGATTAGAGTCGCATAATGAAGTAACAACCCATTTTCCTTTTTGTGGCTCTGTGTATGGATCAGAACTGTAATCGTCATGTTTGGCAGTGGCGGAACGGAAATTGCTTCTACATGAAAAATATAGCAAATATATGTGTTATAATATTAATTGCCTATATCTTATGCTTTTTTAAGTCATTTCTTTATTCAAATATCCATTTATTCAGTAAGATTTGATTTTTTTAATCTAATGTTATCATAACCGTTCTAACAAATTATAGATTAGAAATAAAGTTATCTGTTTATTTTCTAATAGTCAATGTATATATTCATCAATTTGCAGTGATATATGTTACAGTAAAATTTGTTTAATTAGGGATTATATGTATAATTTGAGGTAATCTAAAAGTTAGTGATGATATATTATTATTAAAATTTTCAGGAATATTCCCTAAATAAATTGTCAGGCATTATTCAAAATAACTGGAATTACAATGTACTTAAGTTCAATAATTTATTTTATAAACTCATCTGAAAACTTAATCTTTTCAATGTTTGTCCCGTTTAAGCCAGGACACTATTAAGTATGAATTCACGAGAAAACATTCTTGTAAATAGTAAAAATAAAAATAAATTGAAATAAAAAAAAAATGTCCATTTTATGTTATCATTTCCCTCCTTAAATGACAAACGACGAGTACAGCAGGTTATATAAGCTTTATGTCAAATTGGTTTAAAATGTTGCTATACGAATAAAATTCCTTGAGTACCGATTTCAATTCCCTTTTCTACTGACTGTATACCTCTCTGGAACATGTCACTTATTCGTATATGTATGCAGCTGGATCAGAGACGTGCATGGAAAAAAACCCAAAGGAATTTACATAATCGATGTAATTAAGTTACTAAGCAAATTCAAACGTACCTTATCCCGATCTTAACTTTGAATGTAGATAGTGCTAGGGGCCGTCTTAAACTTGCTGTGAGGTGAGAGGTTTTTTTTTGTTTGCTCCGTGTTGAAGACCCCATTGTGATTTTGAGATGAAAACAGCAATACAAGCGCTGTTCCTTTGCTTTTTGTGTGTATCTTTGCTATGCATGTACTGATTTTGTGTCATGGATGGATGGATACCCATATCCTTTTTTTTTTCTATTATAGACCGAGAAGACATGTACAGAAATCGAGACCTATACGGAGACGACTTTCAATATTTCTATATTGATTGTTCACGTGAGCAGACCGGTATATTGGAAAACTTTGTGAAAAATAGGTATATTTTGGCAAGGATTTGTAAAGTATAGTATACAAATCCTTGATTTTGGTAAATTATAATATGCTAAGGACTATGTGGGACACTCCGAAAACTGATATTTTTGAAAATTTTGTATCTACACGAGTTTTTCAATTCTTTTTTTTTATCAATATGCAGCAATTCTAATGACGATACAACATAACACATAATTTCTTTAAGATATAGGATTAATGTTTAGAAATAACTTTTGACGAGCATCGTCACCGGCATTGTTTTACTATTGATTTTCTCCACTATTTCATATAAGAGTGAATTTTCTATTGTTCTTTGTCATCGGTTTTGCAACTGAATAAAATATCACTGGAAAACTGTTCACTTTAATAAAAGATTTGATAAATGCACAGGGCTGGGAATGAAAACTGTCTAATTAAACCCGACGATAAAGGTGTAATACCACCAAATCATAGTACATCACATCCGGTTGCATACGAAAAAGGGTCGAAAAAAATATTCCCTTGAATTTGATAGTTGTAGGAAATTAATCTTTCTTTTCATTGTAGTAAAAAAAATCTTGGTCAAAAACAAATATCTTGGGTGTTTCAAAGCACCGTTATTTTTTTATTTAGTGTTTCTATAGAATGATAGCATCGATATCACGCATTATATCTAGTCTTAGGTTGGGTTACCACGATGGAAACTGTTCTATTAACCAACACCATGGATACAGGGCCCTCGAACGTCTGGACGATATAACTCTACCCCCCATTTCACAATGGGTTTTGGAGTGCATTCTGACGTGAACGATTTACAACTTGTTGTACTGTACGAGGTTGAGTCAGTTTGCTGTGAACATAAATCAGTGTGTCGTTGAAACATACATCTAGCGTAACATCTTGCAACTAGCAGATGTTGTAGAGCTGATCCAGCACGTCCTTCCAGCTGTAAGGTTTGAGACGTGACTGACCATGATGATGATTCAGATATCACCGCATAATTAATAACACGACAAACTAATCAACAACAGGAGCCTATAATACCAAACACCTCGTCCTTTAGTACCCGGCGGATATCTGTCTCAATGTCAATCATACCGTATCCCCTTTTTCTTATACGGTCAATTTTAAAACAGTTGAAATCTAAACATCTTAGGAAATTTAAGAGAACCAGCTTATAATTAACATATAATATATGTTAATAAAACATCAATGCATACTTACTTATAGCAGTACTTTTTTAGACGATCCAACATTCCTTGTTCATCGATATTTGACCTCTTGAGTCGTAACTGTTTTACAGATGGGTCACTAAAAACAGAAATATATAAAAATTGACGTACGTTCACAATACCTTTGTTTTTGGTACATATATAGAACCTTCTTTACCTGAAGTTTAAGCCATAAATACACAATGTAATGGGATTTTTGCGGTTTTGAAGTCCCACATTTTATTATATCAGCAGTCTTCGTAAACATGTAGTAAGCGTTTCCTAAAAAAAGTAGATGACACTGTTAACAATTTTTGTCCCTATATAGTTTAACGTTGTTTGGTTGGATCAATTGCCAAATGTGTTAAAATTATTGTAATTTAAACATAGGGACAAGTGTTCCGGAGCGACAGAGTAATTCGAAAGATGTTGAAAATCCTTTGGAAAATTTATGGCATAGGAAAATCTTTTGGAGAATATAAGGCATATGTAAATCATTTGTAAAACAAAAAGCCTAGATGATACCATAAAGAGATTGACCAGACGTAAAAACTTGAAACACAAACAATCCGACATCACCGAGAACTTAAAGATTTCGCAACCCGAAATTGCAATTAGCATGCACTTGGGAGTAATCTTACAATCCAGCATACACGATATCCACCATAAAATTACTGGTACCATATAAAAGCTATTTCAAAGATTTTAGTTCTTGATTTTTGTGTTGTATTGAAATTTTCGTAGCATTATGTTTATTAAATTGTAATGTTTTTTTTCTTGTATAGATATCTTTTGTTAATCTTTTCTGATTTTTTTCTTAATTTTCTAAATTTGACTAACTCCTACAGTTTTTTTTATCTATCATGCCTGTTCTATAGTAATTTCATGAATTTGATACCTTGACCGAAGACCTTTTCCGCTGTAACTGTATCCCTGCAACTGATAGTCTGGTTGTGACAGACATTCATTCGATCCACAAGTTACATAAACCACTCCAAACAAGAGCACACATAATACCTGCAGATAGATCATGAGAAAAATCCATAAATATGTAAAGAAATAACGAAGACTGTCAGTATTGTTCCGTGCACTTCACCTATATTATGCAGCAGGCATTTATTGTACTTTTATTAATAATCGACTAATTTATTTTGAGCAAGTACGACATTCTGAATTTGAATTATCTGTGAAATGACGTAGTTGGGTCGTGTTTGTGTTGTTCAGTGTTTAGTTTTCTGTGAAGTGGGCTGGTTTTTTATGTTTGTTTGGTTTTTTTTCGTCATAGTGATTTATGTCTGTTTCCAACTTATGAATTTCGATTGACCCTCTTTCTATATCTCCTCCCTTTAAGTGCATAGAGTTAAACTTATAGCACTGTTGACTACCAGGGGCGTAGCTAGGCCATCATGATGTGTACTCAATGCCAGAGGAGAAGTCATACGGCAGGGGGTATGGGTGCTGCTCAAGGCCCCCAGAAGCTCTGGGATAAATGGTGCAAAATCCTGCATTCTCGCAATTTTCTTGGACTTAAAATGAGCTCAAGAAAATATTATTTTCATGAGTAACAAGTCAACTTCTGAAAATAAATTTGAAAAAAATATATCAATTAGAGAAAAACAAACAAGTACTGTTAGCTTAGAAATTTGGTTTATCTATTGTGTAGTTGGTTGAGCTTGGTTAGGTATTAAGTACAATTAAAATATATGTTGCCACCACCATATATTTTAAATGTCACCTATTCAGACTCAACCTTATATACATTAGAAAAACCAAATTTCTAAGCCAACACCGTGCAACTTAAAGGGTTTTTTTAATTGAGAAAGTACATAAATAAATAGAACTGCATTTCTCTATGTTGTATTTCATAAGTGAACAAGTAGTCTTTCTATCAGCTTTTAATTCTCAAAGTTAAAGAACACGTTGAATGAGGCACCCGTCTTGCATGGCCTAACGTAATACAAAAAAGTCAAAAAACGTTGATCGTCAAAAAACAAAAAAATAAAACATAAAAAAACGGCGAAAATGTTGCACGAAAATTACCCTTTACCACCCCCGTTCAACTTAAGTTTGACTGGACTATTTAAAAATCTGTTATGATGATGTATGTAACTAAGACTATATATTATCATCTCACAGGAAAATCATAAGAATGAATTGTTGTCCATGGTCTCTTTAAAACGTCATATTTTATTTCGTCAGTTATTTTGAAATCTTTAGAAAAGATGTCAGGGTAAGGAGGCATACATAGAAGACGAGACAATTGTTTAATGACACCCCGAGGACTCAGTCATTTATTATCAATTATTTGCATCAGCAACATAATCACGATGCTGGTTACATAAATGAAAAGAGTAGTTTCAGGAATGGAATATAGCTACAAAGTAATTATTAACATGTTTCTGTAATACTTTTTAATTAAGTTTATTACTTTAGTTTTATTCTTACTAAATTTACCATATTTTAATTTTTGTCATATTTTCGATGTGTACGCAACTGCGTTTTTGCGTACGGGTTGCTACGCGCCTGACTACTTCCGTCAGTTAGTTCTTTGCCGACAAAAGGTTCTTTGTGTTGCACTGTATGCATAAAATATGCATTTACGTCTTATTTGCTCATTTAAGGCATTTAAAATTCACGTATTGTGACCTGTTTAAGAGTTACTTGCTGTTGTAAAAAATGTGCCAGTTAATTTATCCCATCAATGTATTCTCACCTTTTGGAAGCAATACATTAATGTTAAAATTCCCTTATGTATTTTCCCTAGGATTTCATTTGCGACAGAATGAACAAATTAGTGTAATGAAAGAATACCGCCAGTGCATTTAAATACCGTAATGTGACCGAGTTGTCTAAATAGATCATATACATTTTATCACTAGCCTGTCAAGACTTCGAACCCCGCACGTGGCAGGTGCGTTCGACTCCAATCTTTATTGACTGGATTTGACAGTTTTTCTACCAATAATCGGTGATTCTTTCCGGGCACTTCGGCTTCCTACCCCATTAAAAACTGACCGTAACGATCTAGCCAATATAGCTGAAAGATGCGTCAAACACAATCAATCAATCAATCAATCAATCACCGAAAGATCTACACACCGAAAAGAAAGTACGCTTACACTGATGCTACCAAAACGCCTTGTTTTCAGAGGCTTTAAAATTATATATTTACCCAATCTCCCTTGGAACTCAATCTAAGATCACGAACGAAAAGCATAAAGTTAACTTGAAGAAGTCAGAATGAATATTCATGAAATATTTTCAACTGGGCTGAACAACACTAAATTCATCACATACAATGTCACTTTGATAATCCTTGTTATTTGTTTAGTTTATGCAGAGGTTTCAGAAGCTGTCCGCGAACATAACTTGTTCTAAAAAAAAATGCACCCTCTTAAAAGCAACCCGGTTGTCAGAAACGACCAAACAGTCTTTGGAATAAATAATATATTCCAGTATTACTATTCAGACTTAAATTTAAGACTATTTAGGTCTGAAAACAAATGTCTGCAAATAAAACAAAATGATACATCTAATAATGTATAACATTCAATTTTGATATTTTCAAGAGATGTTGCTGGATCCTGGAGTTTTGAACTAGAGGCTCTAAAGAGCATATGTCGCTCACCTAGGTCTATGTGCATCTTGAACAATGGACACTCTCCTACATTGTGGACTAGAACAGAATTCATGACAAAATCTCTTTTTTGTTGATCTTGTATTGCTGAAATTTTTTCTGTTTACAGAGTTGACCGATCAGCTTTAGCTTTATCCCACCCCTCTCCCCCAAAAAGGGTATAAACCGATCGTCATTTAAAGGCAATTACTCCTATACGGTTCAACTACTGTTTAGAGTAAAATTTGTATATCTGTTTTGCTGATAATGTTTGCTATTTAAAGTGTTTTCTCACTTTTAAAGATTTCAAGGTGATAAGCAAAAAAGCCCAAATTGGTTAAACTATCATCATTAAAGAGCAAGACCTCCAATAAGGAGTCTACTGACGATTTCTGCCATGTTGATTTATTTGTAGATATGGTCTTGCTGATCAATTTTACTTTTAAAGTGTCTATCTATCTATTATAGTTTTCAAGATAAAAGGCACAAACGTTAAAATTGGTTTAAAATCATTATTAAAGAGCGAGACCTCCAATAAGGAGTCTACTGACTATCCTACTGTCCTATTTGTAGATCTTGTCTTGCTGATCATTTGTGCTTGTTAAAGTGGTTATCAATCTAGTATAGTTTTCAAGATAATATGCACACACGCTTAAAATGGGTATTATTTTACTTGTTTGGCTTTATAACTATTTTGATCTGAGCGGCACTGATAAGTCTTATGTAGACGAAACGCGCGTCTGGCGTATTAAATTATAATCCTGGTACCTTTGATAACTATTTACACCACTGGGGCGATGCCGCTGCTGGTGGATTTTTCGTCCCCGAGGGTATCACCAGCCCAGTAGTCAGCACTTCGGTGTTGACATGAATATCAATTATATGGTCATTTTTATAAATTTCCTGTTACAAAACTTTGAATTTTTCGGAAAATTAAGGATTTTCTTATCCCAGGAATAGATGACCTTAGCCGTATTTGGCACAACTTTTTGGAATTTTGGGTTCTCAATGCTCTTCAACTTTGTACTTGTTTGGCTTTATAACTATTTTGATCTGAGCGTCACTGATGAGTCTTATGTAGACGAAACGCGCGTCTGGCGTATTAAATTATAATCCTGGTACCTTTGATAACTATTAACATGATACATATTTATTATAAGGTTAAATCCTAACTACCCTAATGCATGTCGATACTTTTATTTTGGCATTGCACAAGTCATGTCTTCTTTGACTATCCATGGCGTTAAAACACTAAATCCCTGGGATTTGTTTTAATTGATTTTAGTCTCTGATGCATGATATCTTATTATTAATTGTTTTTGGCTTTTAACTATCTTTCAGTAACTGCGAGTACTCCCAAATCGTACTTTCTTGTTAATTTGCCCTGTTGACACAATTTGTAATGCATTTCTGTTATTCAATGTTTACTTATTTTGTGTTATATCTCGTCTCACTATTTTTAATATGTACCACCTTTGATAAGTATTTAGTATGACGATAAATGTTCACTTCTGTACTCGTACTGTTAACAACAAATTCATTTTTTTGTAAAAATATTTCCGTACTCCTAACAACAAAATTATTATATTTAGATTTACCTGTGAACGTTATTTTATTTAACGCCATTTTGTCCTAGGTTAGAGTTAATATTGTATCTATATTGTGTCATAGATCAAACTTATTCGTTCAGTGTATGTTTACTTGTTTTTGTTTATGTCTTTTTGATCGAGTTAAGCCATTTCAATTGATATTTTATAGTGTGTCTTTTTATGTTGTAATGTTACACTATTGTTTCAGGTTATGGTTAAGGTTGGCGCCTGTTAAAACGTTTAAACCCGCTGCATTTGTATGCACCTGTCCTAAGTCAGGAGCCTGTTGTTCATCGGTTGTCATTTGTTTGTGTGGTTCATAAGTGTTTCTCGTTTCTCGTTTTTTTATATAGATTAGACTGTTGATTTTCCTGTTTGAATTGTGCACTAGTCATTTTGGGGCCCTTTATAGCTTGCCGTTCGGTGTGAGCCAAGGCTCCGTGTTGAAGGCCGTACTTTGACCTATAATTTGTATATCTGTTTTGCCGATAATTTTTGCTATTTAAAGTGTCTTCTCTCTTTTAAAGATTTCAAGGTGATAAGCAAAAATGCCAAAATTGGGAAAACAATCATCATTAAAGAGCAAGACCTCCAATAAGGAGTCTACTGACGATTTCTGCCATGTTGATTTATTTGTAGATCTGGTCTTGCTGATCAATTTTACTTTTAAAGTGTCTATCTATCTATTATAGTTTTCAAGAAAATAGGCACAAACGTTAAAATTGGTTAAAAATCATTATTAAAGAGCAAGACCTCCAATAAGGAGTCTACTGACGATTTCTGCCATGTCCTATTTGTAGATCTTGTCTTGCTGATAATTTTTGCTTTTAAAGTGGTTATCTATTTAGTATAGTTTTCAAGATAATAGGCACACGCTTAAAATGGGTATTATTTTACTTGTTTGGCTTTATAACTATTTTGATCTGAGCGCCACTGACGAGTCTTATGTAGACGAAACGCGCGTCTGGCGTATTAAATTATGATCCTGGTACCTTTGATAACTATTTACACCACTTGGGCGATGCCGCTGCTGGTGGACGTTTCGTCCCCGAGGGTATCACCAGCCCAGTAGTCATCACTTCGATGTTGACATGAATATCAATTATATGGTCATTTTCATAAATTTCCTGTTTCAAAACTTTGAATTTTTCGGAAAACTAAGGATTTTCTTATCACAGGAATAGATTACCTTAGCCGTATTTGGCACAACTTTTTGGAATTTTGGGTCCTCAATGCTCTTCAACTTTGTACTTGTTTGGCTTTATAACTATTTTGATCGGAGCGTCACTGATGAGTCTTATGTAGACGAAACGCGCGTCTGGCGTATTAAATTATAATCCTGGTACCTTTGATAACTATTAACATGATACATATTTACTATAAGGTTAAATCCTAACTACCCTATTACATGTCGATACTTTTATTTTGGCATTGCACAAGTCATGTCTTCTTTGACTATCCATGGCGTTAAAACACTAAATCCCTGGGATTTGTTTTAATTGATTTTAGTCTCTGATGCATGATATCTTATCATTAATTTTAATAATAAAATTATAAATGAGCAATAACTCCCAAAAGAAGTCAACCGTCGATTTTGGTCAGGTTTGACTTATTTTTAGATCTTGCATATCTGATTATTTTTTTCTATTATAAATTTCTATCAATCTATATTAGTTTTTAAGATATAGGCCAAAAAAACGCAAAAAAATGGTAAAAATCGTCGTTAAAGAGCAATAACTACAATAAAATTTTTAAAAAAATGTGAAAATTAGTCATTTAAGGGTACAATGTTTGCATAAAATGAAAAAAAATTCAACATTTTCATACTGAGGCTACCAGTCTTTCAGGGAGGAAACTGAATTCTACATGTTTTCACATTCTAAGAAAAACATTACTTTTTAAATATATTGTATTTTTAGGTAAAACACCGGTCTAGCATCAAAATCGAATATTTATGATTTTATATAAAAAGGGGCTAATCAAAGACAGTTCCAAAGAATAACGGCAAATAAATAGGGGAGCGATATATGTGGAAACTTTAGTTATATTGCACAGGAAACAGATTTCTTAAGCATTTAAAAGCCAGTATAAGAAAGTGAATTATTTATGGACTTTGATGATCTTTATTTAATTCATTGATATACAGCTAAAACAATTTATGAAAAATGTATTTAAATATTTCGCGGTATTTTTAGTTGGATGTTTAACGTTTGAGCTATACTTTTATGTTTATATGAATATAAAGTAAGACATACCTGATACATCAGCAACATTTTTAGAACAACTGCATTCGATTGCAATAGCCGAATATGATATATATATTCCTATACCTACTTAATATTACTTATATTTACAAATTCATATTGTTTTCATTAACTTCTTGCAGATGTTACATTGCAGTCAATTACATGCAGAAAATATTCTTAAATATTAGTTATATCATATTAAACGAACGTTTTGGTAGCTTTGTCCCATGAAAAATGCATCATACTAATGCAGATATGTTAGGATCTAATACTAGTAGATGGCGCATAATAATTTAATCGAGTAACAATTATATCCATATCTCAATCCGATTTTATGGTATATCCGCTTCCTCCTAGTTTGAGGTCACCAACTTCAAGAAATTGACCAAAAAACCAATGTAAATAGCGGAAATGAACTCGTGTTATTGTTTTTTTTTTTAGAAGAGTAGTTTTCATATAAAATGCATTTCAAAATTAAAATTGGTGCTGTTTTTTAATGACTGGATAATCATTCATAAGGTACCATGTACCAAACTTGACTACTTTAATGAGTAATGAATGGAATATATAAACTATCTAAAATAACATTCATAAAATATATGTAGGGCTTACTTTAATGAGATGATGCAATAACGAAATAAGAAACTAGAAAAAGAAAAAAAAAAAAGAAAAAAGATGTCAATGTCCGCCTGATCCGGTCTCCAACAAAAGACATGTGCCCATACAATAGGTAAAGCTCTAATTTGTCTCGGGTCTTAAAATATCATTAACACCACATTCACTTAAGAATGTAGTCACGCAGGTAAAATAAAAAAAATTTAGAATTTAAAATTGATATTATAAGTCAGGAGTGCATTTGAAGCTAAACATATTGATAGGTTATGGAACCCTTTTTCGAGATATTTGTTTTAAAAATGGCGGGAAAATGCTGACTCGGACTTTTACCTTATATTTAGCATTGGCATCATGTGGGTCTCAAATTGTAAAAAAATAAATTACGAATCTGCTTAAATTTTGGTAATGACCTTTTTATGAGCTATTGAAGTCTCCTATGAAAAGAAAAGTGGTTGATATGGGGCAAAATATTTTACCCTGTATCGTAGGATAAAACCAAAGGAGTTCGAACATCTATCAAAAATTCCTAAACCTGACAGGACTACATCCTTACTGACAAAACAGTTTAAAATTTAACACAGTTCATCTACCGACAAAGTTTTACTTCGGATTAGGAAAGGCAATATGGAAATGTGTGTATTGTATTTCTTAGTCTAACTTCAGTGTTTTACATATATGTCACAGCCTAACTGAGTTTTATGAAATTATATAACTAATAAATATTACATATGGTATTTATGATTTTGTATATGTTTTTTTCTAATCCTCTCTTTCAATCATAGTATAGAACAAATAAAATATTGATATTGTTAAAGTTATGCAACTTAAAACAGCTTACACTTTCGACCTAATACAACTTAAGAACTTCGTGCAATTTATTCAGAATGATCTTTATATGTATGATTCATTTTACTTATGTTTTATTAATTTTTACCGATTTATTTTGTAAAAGGGCAATGACAAAAGAAAACAATTCGTTAAATTATATCACATATTATTAAACGGAGATGTGGGGTACATGTCAATGAGACAGCAACCAAACGACACTAACCAGTAAAATACATCTAGAGGGAAAAACAAACGTTGTCTTAAACAATAGACAAAGGTCCATTCAGCTGACCTGCCAATGTTTATCACAACGATTTTACCTTTTTAATTGACAACCAAGGAAATGTTTACTGCCGGTTTGCTTAGTGTCTACTACACGCCATCAGCGTTAATATGTTTTCGCGGAATGAGAATGTTAAAACATGGTGTAGAAGATATATCAAGCATCAAAGCTACGGATTTCACTGTTTTAGAGAAACTTCTAGGATTTGAATTTTCAAATTTTTGGCCTTGAGCATCGCTGAATAGATGTTAAGTGTTAAAACACTCACCTTGTTTCAGTTAAAATGGTACCTTAATTGCTATTTATAACAATAAAAGATAAATTTAAACTTTATTTTTACAGCTACACTTGAATGTGTGAAAACGTCCTGATAACTTTATATCTGACTTCTTTTAGAGTGACGTATACTATGTTTTGTAGGAAATTTTACATACGTCCTCCTTTCAAAAGCGATCGATATTGTATGAAAACACTATTGAATATGTACCGAAGAAATTGTGTTTTGAAATAAGCTGTATAATGTCATTTTTTTTTCTCGACAGCGACGATAGTCGCGGAAAGCGAGACATACGAATTGCTTTTCCGGCGACTACGATGATGATGATGTTGGCGTCAAGAATTGTTAAGTTTTCTGTTTAAGCTAGTTTGGTAGGATCTACTTGTGACAGAGATCAATGAAATTTTGTTTGAGATCGCATTGCTATCAGTACCTATCAGTTTGCCTACTATATTCAGGCCCTGTCAACTAGATCATGGTACAGCGACTTTTAATTAATAAGCAATGGTGCTGACCATCAGATTGTCTTTTTCTGAATTATGTGCCGACAGGCGAGACATATTTCCGTGTCAACAGTTTATCTAAAGTAACAATTTGTAACCCTTCCGGCAGTAGATACCATACGAGATGATACCGAGATATCAAAATATGGTCACTTGGAGTTCCCCGTCAAACATGCAGGAAGAACTGTTTGGCTGTGCGGGATGTATAGATACTTCGCCCCCTCCGGTCGCAAACAATTATTTCAACTGTTTTGCTGTTCAAAAAGGTCTACATTTGCCTTTTTATGAATTGTTTGAACGAAAAAAGTCCAAAATATAGCAATAAAAATAATTTAAAGTAACATAGTAAGACTCGTCCCTAACGAAAACAAAAAAGTATGGAACGCCAAATTAACAAAAATGGATAGTCATAATTACAATTTCGTCGATTTTGCACTTATTACTATAGCAAAAGCCTTTATTCTTAACTAATATTGCATTGTCTTCATATAACTAATTGTAAATAATTATTTTCTTCCTTTTTTAATGAATTATTGCCGAAAATAAACTATTTTGTAACTTTATTTCAGCTATCACTTGAAGTGACCTATGTTCGATTCAGCGTCATTATTTTATTGGAGCTAACCACAGTCACTGTGCTAATTGTTTAGCGCAAGGATCATTTCTATATCAAGTACTATATTATATTATTCTGAATTTCTTATTTCCATGAAAATAATTTATCACAATGGAGTCAAAAATATTTGATTGCGTATCTTGCTCTATCAATAAGTCAATTCAAAATGAATGGTTAACAAAACAAATGTACGAAATATGCTACAGTAAAACACAATCGAAAGTTTTCAAGTAGGGAAAACATCGAACATAGTATACTTTTAAATGCTTTATGATAAATATTGTGCTTAGTTCAAGCTGCTCGTTTCTGTGTGTACTTTGTATATTTTGTCTTGTTTGTTTTTATGTCCTTTTTCGTTTTCTCGGACGCGATTTAAGCCCATTGATTCAACTTCTCTTGTCATCCTTTTGGACACTTCGGTATTCTCGCTTTTCAAATAATTCATTATCTTCAGTAGGGTTAGAATTCCTAAGAAATTGAGAAATGGACAAATGAATTACAGTGTATAGACACACTAAAAAAGAAACATCACACGAACAAGAAAACATTATTATTTAGAGTCAACGTTGTTAATACTTCTTGTTCCGAATAATATTATAATGTGTATTGATATGTTATATGACATATAATGATTAAAGTATGCATCAACAAATAATTTGTGTTCTAACTCTTTTCAGCTACAACTATACCATGGAGAAATGCATTGTGTGCCTAAAAGATGACCACCCAACAACGCTGATCAAATTGCGACAAAAAGGTTGTCTTGGGAATCATCAGAGCTAGCCAGGAAAGAGGAGACTGTTTGTCCGCATTAGAGGGTAATTTTGTCCATCAACTCTGCAGGAAAACATATACCAATCCAAATGATATAAAGAAATACAAAAAAGAAAAACTTGTTCTACGAGAAACAAATACAAACACTCCAAAATTACAATCAAAGTCCCATTTTGATTTTAAACATCATTGTTTATTCTGTGGAAATGAAGCAACAGACTCCAAGAAAAAAGACAAAAATGTATTTCCAGTTCGTACTGATGATTTTGAGAGTAGCAAACAAGATGCTTGTGATCTTCGAAATGATGATTGGGCAGCCGAGGTTCGCGGAAGACTTGAGAGCGTGAGCGACCTCCATGCAGCGGATGCTGTTTATCACCAGGCATGTAGTGTAAACTTCCGCACGTGCAAAAATATTCCTGTATTTCGTTCTCCCATATCACCGGACGCAAAGCCTGAAAACAAAAGAGGAAGGCCAGCTTTGCAAGAAGACGGCTTCTACAAAATAGTCGACTTCCTTAAACATCATGACGACGAACAGATTTCGATATCAGATCTTGTTGAAAAAATGGACGAGATGTGTGATGGGAATGCTTATAGCCAGATATATTTGAAGAAAAGATTGAAGCAACATTTTGGAGACGAAATCATTATTACCGATATACCAGGTAAAAAAAGTGTTGTAACTCTACGAGAAACCGTGAGTTGTATTCTTCAGGACTATTACCAGAGGCCAAGTAATCTAAATCCAGATGACGAAAAGAGAGCTTTGATCAAAGCAGCTGCCAAACTGATAAAAAGCGACATCCGATCTGTAGATACCACAAAGTCTATTTATCCAACTCCAGCCAACATTGCATCAGTTGATACAAATTTATCATACTTACCCGAAAGCCTGCTGTTATTCCTTTCTACTATATTTTCTGAGAAGGACCCATTAGTGAAAATAGCTTCCATAGGACAAGCAGTAATGCAAGCTTCACGACCTCGAGCACTTATTACACCGCTTCAACTCGGTCTAGGAGTACAAGTGCATCACAACTTCGCTTCACGATTTCTTGTGTCCACATTGAACAGCTTAGGATTTTGTTCGTCATACTATGAAGTCCAGAAGTTTGAATCAAGTGCTGCAGCTGTACAAGGAGTTGACCGTCCAGGCGATGTAAGCAACAGCTTTGTACAATTTGTAGCAGATAGCGTTGACCACAACACAAGAACGATAGACGGCCTCAACACTTTTCATGGCATGGGCA